TATGGTGGGACCCAAGCAAGAGATGGTTACTGAGATGGTTACCTCAGTGAAGCTGTTAGTATACTTCTGAGCTTCCTGGCAACCAGTGGAAAAAGGGAAATACACCAGGCCATAAGAAGAGGCAAGTTTCTCCCTGGCACCTGGAAGAGTCGACCATTCTATCCATTATGCACAGGTTGAAGAGTAATAGGGTGGATCTTTCTTGCAAGAATACAAGGGCCCAGATGGTGGAGAGCAGCCCTACCTTACCCGAAAACATTCACCCCAGCACAAGAAAGGATGAAAAGGTGTCAGGATGGAGTTCTGAGGTTAAGCTGAGACTGATGCCCAGTTCCCACCCAGAACTGCTGAATCTGGGTCTGGGGGAGGGCCCAGAAACCATGAGGACATAGCACTGCCAAACAGTACTGATACTGTGCTTTCCTAACAGGAACGGCTCCCAAGGTCATCCAGCCAACTTCCGTCTTTCTGTAGAGATGGCGACAACAGCCCAGCTTGAGGAAATAACTCACCCAAGGTCTCTTGGTGAGTTCAGAGGGCTTAAATCTGGAGCGTCTCCCTAAAAATAACTGAATTCAGGAGTGCCCTGGTGGCTCAGTCAGTTAAGCCTCTGACTCTTGGTTTCAGCTCAGGTCATGATCTCAGGGTCATGGGATCAAGCCCTGCCTCCGACTCTGCTCAGTGCTGTCAGCTTGAGATACTTTCCTCCTCCCTCTCCTTCCCCCACTGCCCCTACCCTTGCTCTTGCTGGCGCATGCATGCTCACTCTCTCTTTAAAATAAATAAATAAAATCTTTAAAAAAAAAATTTGAATTCAGCATGGGACAAAATACCCTGCAAGTAGGCGGAGGCGTTTTTGCTATGCTGGGGTGGTAGAGGTGGTAGTGAAGAAGATGGTGCCAAGAAGATGGTAGTGAAGAAGAAGTGCAGGTAGCACGTACTTATTGGTTATTATAGGAACTAAGAGGCCGGCACATCAGTAAGAATGCTTTTGGCTGAAGTAGTAGAAAACCAACCTTAAACTGGCCTAAGCAATTTCAAGGTCTTACCGGTTATAAGAGTCCAGGCACAGAGCAAGCATCAGCTCTGTGTCGTGCCAGACCCTTTTCTTCTCTCCTGGTCAAGGATGGCTGCCGAGAGATCTCTCCCACCTGTGAACCAAAGCTGGTTCTGGGCCAGTTGGGCCGCTGCTGAACCAATGCGCGGTGACCAAGCAAATGCCATGCGTGCTGACTGGCTTATGTCTCCACTGCTAGACCAGTCATCAGGACACAGGGGATGAAATGAAGCTGATTTGCTTAGAAGAGCCAAGTCCCTCCCCTGGAGCAGAGGTGGTCTCATCCAAACTACAAATTTGGAAAAGTTGAAAGGGTGTTAGAGAGACGCACAATGTCAACCACACGCAGGATGGGGCTGTGCCCTCGCCCTCTTCTCAAGGCCAGTGGAATCAACATGTAATGACATCCTTTCATGGTCTATGTTTGAAACGAAGATGCCATGGGCTGTCATGGTGTCTTTGATGAGCATTGGAATTGGGCCAGAGGGTCAAGGCCAATTTCAAACTTGTCCCGGATAACCATCCATCCCTTGCATTCCTAAGGCTTTGCGCACAGAAGAGGCAAACCAGGACAGTTACACCTGATCCCCAGTCCTCAGCAGGGGCTTTGGCTCCACGCCCCAGCCTGACTGCAGTGAAGGAGGCTCGTTCTTCGGGAACTTCCTTTATCTGGGTAGACAGGCCTGAACAGCTCAGTACCAACGCCGGCCAAAATGCCCACACTTCCTGCTGGCCTGCTTCCTCAAGCCCCGACCCAGGAGCGGGACCTCACCACCTCTGCCTGCAAGGAAAATCCAGAGATTCCTGAAGATAGCAGAAAGGAGCATGGGGACCAGCAGGAAACCTTGGCCCCAGGGCCCAGCCTAGCCTTCTCAGCCCAGGATAGGAGCCCCAAAGGGCCCATAGCCTTCTGGGAGAAGAGAGAGCATTTGCAGCAACAGAGAGCCCTATAATCTGCCAAAGAAGGAAGGAGGCCATACTCATCAGCAATAGTCCTGGAGCAGTGTGGCGGACACTTAAAACTCTTCCCAGGGATTCCACTCCCAGAGCAGGTGACCTAAGTGAAACTTCAACACCTGGAAGTAGGGGAGGTTGTGGAGGGTAGAGTTGGGGATAACTAAGGAATGGCAGGGGCGAGAGGAATGCCTTGCTCCTGATCCACCTCTAAAGGAGCAACAGGAGCTGGGGCAGATCTTGAGCTCCCCCTAGAGGCCCCCATGCGTGCATGCATGCATGCATGCATTCATTCACCAAGCCCTTCATCCCATTTTGCACTGGACACCATGCTAGGTGCCAGAGATGCAGCACTGAAGGAGGCAGATAAGGCCCCTATTTTCATGGAGTGGGGGTTTCTCACCAGACAATGCAAAACGGGAAACACACATCAACTCAAACCAAAAGAGGTTCCTGGGCACGGTGCAGACCCAGTGCTCTCCCTGGACCTCCAAAGGTCCTGAGCAACTTGTGCTGCTTTTAAACCAGGGGACTGGGAAGGACCAGCTGCCAGCCCAGGCTTATGAGGCCACGCTCCTAAGCTGCAGAATGGTAACACTGGAAAAGACCCCAAAGATCCTAAATCCCACCTGCTCATTTCACAGACAAGAATACTGAAACCCAGACAGAGGAAAAGGCAGCATCCATATAAAACTAGCTGGCATTTACTGAGGCTCTCTGTCCCACCCGGATGAGGAGTTTCCCCGCCCAATCCCTATGCCCCAGGGAACTCGGGCTCTCCCAGGACTAGAGCAATCCTCCTGCAGCTCAGTTCTTCCCACGCCCTCACCCCACAACCAGCCTTGAAGGCCATGTCCTAAAGCCCCAAGAGTGGGCTGTGGGGGCCTCAGAGATGAACAACCCCAGGGAGAAGGGACGGCTGCTAAAGGCGTCAGCTCAGGCTGGCTCATGAAGTCTATTTTCCATGTGTCTGGAACCAGGCCAAAGCTTCCTGGGGTAATTTTAACCAGTATCCACTCTAGAACAATACCAAAAAAGGTAAGTTGCTTGCCACCCCAGACAGGCGCATACCTAATCATTGCCCTTTCACGAATTAGACTTTTAAAACATTCAGAGCTAAAACTGAAGGTAGAGGAGCCAAGCAAAGTATCCCTATATTGGCTCTTGGCCCTCTTATTGAAATTACCTCTGAAGTGCCAGCTATTCTTACCCTCAGAAAATAACCTCAACCCCTCAGCTGTCTTGGGGCAGGGAAGGTATTTTTAGACCCTAGAACAGCTGATTTAGGACTAGCTGCAGGGGCTAGGAGGTCAGGGGGAGGATTGAATTGCAAGGAGCTAATGGGGGGAGCAGGGAGTTATCCAGGGGGCAGGAACCAGCAGGAGCTTTAGGACAAGTCAGTCGGCAGTGCCTTTTTGATCAGCAGAGTGTCTTGATCTAAGCCAGTGGTTCTCAACTGAGGGTTGATGGAGGGGAGGGGATGGGCGAGACGGGTGATGGGTATTAAGGAGGGCACTTGTTATTTTATTTATTTATTTATTTATTTATTTGAGAGAGAGAGAGAGAGCACATGAGAGGGGGAAGGGTCAGAGGGAGAAGCAGGCCCCTCGCCGAGCAAGGAGCCCGATGCGGGACTCGATCCTGAGACTCCAGGATCATGACCTGAGCCGAAAGCAGCCGCCCAACCAACTGAGCCACCCAGGCGCCCAAGGAGGGCACTTGTTATGATGAGCACTGGGTGTGTATGTAAGTGATGAATCACTAAATTCTACTCCTGAAACCAATATTGCATTGTATGTTAACTAACTAGAATTTAAATAAAAAATCAAAAAGAAAAAAAAATCCAGTGGTTCTCAAAATGTGGCCCCTAGATAAGCAGCATCAGTGTCACCTGGGACCAAGTGCATTAGAAATGCCAAGTTTCTGGGGTGCCTGGGTGGCTCAGTCGGTTAAGCGTCTGCCTTCTGCTCAGGTCATGATCTTGAAGTCCTGGGATCGAGCCCCCTGCTCAGCGGGGAGTTTACTTCTCCCTCTCCCACTGCCCCTCCAGCCCACTTGTGCTCTCTCTCCCTCTCAAATAAATAAAATCTTAAAAAAAAAAAAAAGAAATAAAGAAGAGCCAAGTTTCAGCTCCCACCTAAAAACTACTGAATTAGAACCACCGTGTGCGGGGCCCAGCAATCTGTGTTTTAATGAACGCTCAAGATGATTCTGGTGCTAGCTAAAGTTTGAGAACCAATGATATCAGCAAACCATCTACACGGATCCCCTTGTACATAAGGCAGAAGGAAAGAATGATCTACACTGGTGCTTCTCAACTCTTGAGTGTTTGTTCAAAGCAAGGGATCCCAGCCCAGAAAAATGTATACCCACATGGAAGATTCAGGGCCGGCTGGCCCTGGTGAAAGACCCCCACTCTTTGGCAATCCAGAGGCTCTGCTCTTCTCTGGGTCTAAGGCTGACCTACAGAGAATCTTAGAGCTGAAAGAGACCTTACAGGTTACTTAGTCCAACCAAAGCAGGAATCTGCTCTACAATATCCATAGAGCCTCAGCATTAGCTGGGCCCTTCCAGAGACTGGGAGCTCACCGCTTCCTAAGAGCTTGTTTGCAATTGTCCTTGATTTATTTGGGGAGGGCTAGTGCTTGTTCACTCCTACATAGGTCTGGATCAACCAGGCTCCAGTAACTTGATTGAAATAGGCTTATAAACCCCAACTAAAGGAAGTATGTGACTGCCCTAAGTGGTAGAAATGAATGCGGTATTTTTAAAATAACCTATCTCAGTGGTGGTGATGGAATATCCTCCTTTATATTGATCCGAAATCTACCTCCCTGCAACCTCCCATTCCCCACCCCAGTTTCAGCTTCGGAGCCACAAGGAGCAAACCCAAGATCTTGCTTAACAAAAGACAGCGTTTACTTTTCATGGGCCTCGCTTGGCATGGGAGCGCAGGGAGGGTGGTCTCTGGCTACCCTCAGCCTCCGGTTCAGAAGATGCAGGTGCAGCCCACCGCAATGGTCTCCATGACGGCGCGCTGGCGGCAGGGCCCGGTGCGTGGTGGCAGCGGGCAGAGGCGACGGCGCACAGGCACCTGGCTGAACACGGGCACGCTCACCATGCTGCGGTCCTCCTGCATGGTGAAGGGGTTCACGCAGCCCAGACACAGGCACTGCGCCTCCGGCAGGTCCACAGGAATGCGGCTCGGGTCATGGTTGATGCTGCAAGAAGGCAGGAGAGAGCCCTGAGGGGCAGGTGCTCAGGACAGGGCAAATCCATGCCTAGGCCCCACACCCCTACCTTTCCTAACTGGGGTTTTCATACCCGCAGCAAGACTGTGCTCTGCTGGGGCCTGCGCAGTGATGAACTCCGGGTTCCAGGTGAGAAAACCGAAGATCTTAGAAGGCAAGCCAGCCCCAAAGTTATCCAGGCTCAAGGTCACCAGTCACCCAGTTCCCTTCTTTCATCCCCAAGTTGCCCATCCCAGTACTAGATTGTACTGTGGGATCGCAAGGAAGCCAACGCTTTCTCTGTCTCGCACCCCTTCCCCTGCCACGTGTTTATACTTATATATAACTTCATCCACGGGAAATGACGTAGGAACTCGTTGATGCCTAATCCTCGCCAGAAGAGGAGTCAGGAGGCCTGGGTTCTATTCTGACTGCGTTTCTCTTCATTCAGGACATACTTTTCACACACCTACCACGTGAGTGAATCTGTCCCAGACATGAGGTGTTCACTCATGGACAACACACACAGGTTCCCTCCTGGAGCTGAGAGTACAGGGACTTGCTTTGTGACCTTGCCTTCCTTGTGCCTCAGCTCTCTCGTCTGCTAAATGGGAGGGAGGGAGTTTGTGGACTTGCAGCATCTGCATCACTCAGGAGCGTATTAGAAACGCAAAATCTCGGGGCGCCTGGGTGGCTCAGTCGTTGAGTGTCTACCTTCGGCTCAGGTCATGATCCCGGGGTCCTGGAATGGAGCCCCACGTCGGGCTCCCTGCTGAGCGGGAAGCCTGCTTCTCCCTCTGCCTGCCGCTACCCCTGCTTGTGTTCCCTCTCTCTGTCTCTCTCTCTCTGTCAAGTAAATAAATTAAAATCTTAAAAAAAAAAAAAAAGGAATGCAAAATCTCATCCTTACCCCAAATCTCCTGAGTCACAACCTGCATTTTTATAAGATCCCCACCAAAAATCAAGGGCACAGTAAAGTTTGAAGCCCAGGTTTGCAGGATTTTAACGGACCCTTCTAATGGCCACATTCCAGATACACATTCCACATGTGACTATTTAAATTTAACTCAATCAAAATTAGTCAACTATACTTAAAATAAATAAATCTAAAATAAATGAAATAATCAAAATGAGTTCCTCAGTTGCACTAGCTACATGTCAAGTGCTCAAGAGCCACATGAAGCTAGTCATCATCACAGAAAGTTCTGTTGAACATACTCTTCTAGAGTCTCGGGACCTAAGATGTGCAGCTAAAAAGTATTTGGCCTGGATGCACCTGGGTGGCTCAGTTGGTTAAACATCCGACTCTTGGTTTTGGCTCAGGTCATGATCTCAGGGTTGTGAGATCAAGTCCCACTTTAGGCTTCACACTCAGCAAAGAGTCTGCTTGAGATTCTCTCTCTCCCTCTTCCTCTGTCCCTCCCCCTGCTCCCTCTCGCACTCTCTCGCTCTCAAATAAATCTTGAAAAAAGATCTTTGGCCTGATTTGTGAGTGAGGACCCCTCCAGGTTAGTCTATTTCTTTTTATTTTTAAAGATTTTATTTATTTATTTGAGAGAGAGAGAATGAGAGATAGAGAGCACGAGAGGGAAGAGGGTCAGAGGGAGAAGCAGACTCCCTGCTGAGCAGGGAGTCCGATGTGGGACTCGATCCCGGGACCCCAGGATCATGACCTGAGCCGAAGGCAGTCGCCTAACCAACTGAGCCACCAGGCGCCCTAGTCTATTTCTTCATTACTTATTCAGCACACATACATTCAGCCCCTCCTGTATGTCAGGGTCTGTGCTTAGAAGGAGAGCTACAGTCAAGGTGAGACACCAAACCTATCATGTAGGGACGGCAGGTCTTAACTAGCAAACCTGGCACCCTAATCATGGGGAGATGTTTAAAATACACTACATCTAAATAAATAAATAAATAAATAAATAAATAAATAAATAAATAGAAAGAAAATCTGAAAAAAAAATACCACTTTCTGCGCCTCTTCCTGGAGACTGTGATTGAATAGGCCACTCGAATCCTTACATGACTCTGATGCAGGCCCTGGGAAGGTGCCAGTCAAACATGAGACAGATGCTGACACAGCAACTTGATGCCTCCTGCAAGAACTGTGACTGGGAGGAAGTGAGAGCCTTGCAGGCCCTTAGCGGGGATGTGAACCACAATCCCCGGGCTTTGCCTCCATAGCTCATTTAATAACAAGCCTATAAAACCTATGAAGTGAGACTCTTAACTATGGGAAAGAAACTGAGGGTCACTGGAGGGGAATTGGTTGGGGATTGGGGTAACTGGGTGACAGGCATTAAGGAGGGCACATGATGTGATGAGCACTGTGTTATAGGCAGCCGATGAATTACTGAACTCTACCTCTGAAACTAATGATGTACTATATGTTGACTAATTGTATTTAGACTTTTTTAAATGAAAAAAAATAAAAACACCTATGAGTATGAACCCGTATCACCGCCACTTACACTGAGGAACCTGGGGCTCAGAGAAGCTAAGCTTGCCCTAAGCCACACAGCCAGTAAGAAGCAGAGCCGGGATTCAAACCAGGCGCTGAGGTCTCTGAACCCAAGGTCTAACTGTGACAATGATGGGAACGGTAGGCGCCGTGTGCGGCTCGCCCCTGGCTGCCCAGCCCAGCCTACCTGTAGCCCCAGGGTGACAGGCTCCTCTTGTTGGACAGCCACAGCTGCAGGTTGACCTCACACTTCCTCTTGGCCGGCTCGGAGCTGTTCCTCAGCTGGGCCACCATCTCCCCGAGATTCCTCTCATACTCCTCCATGCGGGCGTACGGCTTCGTCTGGGACACCAGGTCCAGCGGCACCTGGTGAGGCCCTGGAGCCAGGGTGCCAGGCCGCCCTGGCCCCTTCCTCTTGCCTTTGGGGTTCCTGGGCTGGCCCAGCCCCAGGAAGATGGAGAGGGTGAGAAGGAACAGCTGGGGAAGAAGGCCACATGTCAAAGGTAGGAGAGCCTGGTCTCCCGCTCTGGGACAAGGCTCAAGGCCCAAGAAGGAGAGAGGGAAGAGAGCCTCTATGGGGACCACCCTCACCTGCCATGCATGGCCTGGTCCCACCAGGCCACCACACGTGTACCACAAGTGTGTGTATGTACCATAGTCATCGCTAAGTCCTACCTGAGGCACCTCTTAAACATCTCACCACACTTCCACTTCTCTGGGCAACCATCCTCACTTCCCTCAAAAGCCTCCTACCTGGGCTCCCCACATCCTCCCTGGCTCCTTCAATCTGTTCTCCATACCATGGCCAAGGACAGGTGTTTGAAATGCAAATCTGATCATGTCACCCTCCAGCTTAGCAGTTCACCCTCAGGGTAACAACACCCCGACTCTGCCACACGGTCTGACCTTCACCTCCTCAGACCACCCCTGATTCCTCTCACACCTGTGCTCCAGCCTCTGGCCTTCTCTGAAGCCCTTCTTCCCGCCATGATCCTTCCTGCCACAGGGACTTTGCACAGGCTGCTACCTGCAGAGTCCTGCCTCCCCTCACCTTCTAAATGCCTCTTACCCCTCATGTCTCAGCCCAGGGTCATGTCCTTAGGGATGCCTCAGTGGACTTTCTTGGGCTCCCAGCACCACACGCCCCTTGCGTGACTGTAGACTTATTGTGTGTGTGTGTGGTTCTTTTATACGGCCGTCCCCCACCAAGAACAGACCTCGTGTGGACAGACATTGCAACAGTTTCCACATAGTGTCTCAACCCCCGTGACTGGGTCAGTGAACGGCTGTCCCCATCCCTGCCCTTCTGTAGCTCACCGTCTGGGATGGGGAGGACACAGTAGACAAGAAGCAAGCCCCTAAATCTCTTGGGGCTGGTTGTTGATGATGATGAGGTGGGCTGCATGTGGCTAGAGATCAGGGACAGCGGCTCAGCCGGTGCAGTGGATTGGTCCCGCAAGGCCTTTCTGGGGAGCGGGCATGTAGGTGAGGTCTGAAGCATAAGAGGGAGGCAGAGGTGGGCAGAGGGAGTCTAAATATCTCACAGGGAGGGGAGCAGTGTGAAAGGAGGTTTGAGTTGGTGAACAGCTGTGCTGGGGAAACCACGAGGCTGAAATGGAGTATGCAGAGGAAGCCAGCAGGGCAGGGTGGGGGCGGGGGGGTGGGGGGCCAGACTAAGGTGGGGAATCAGGCAGGTCCCGGCTGAGGATCCCCGTTGGACGCCATGACACCTGTGCTCCCCTCCTTCATGCCCAGCGCTCTGCCTGCCGCCCACCATCCACGCCTCACCCACTTGTATCCAACCGTCGTTCTCCTGTTCCCACAGAACCGGGAGTGTCAGGAAAGGCTCTGGCTTGCTCGGGAGAAGCCCTGGGGGCCTGGCAAAACCCAGACTCCTCAGCAAGCCCAGGAGACACGGACCAGAACTTGGGTGGGGCCCAGGGCTCGCCAGAAGGGAGAAACTTCAGGAGGGTTTCATCTGGTCCCTGAATCTAACCAGGCTCCTACCTGCCCTGAGTCACTCACCTCACCACCTGCACGGCCCACGTCTGAACTATCCAGGCTACCCAGCAAGTCTTGACCCTTGGAAACAAGTTTCAGCATAGCCCCTCCTGGCAGCACCACTGCCTGGCCCCAAATCCACCACAGAGACTTAAGTCGCTAAATTCTTCCTTTTTGGCCCTGGATTCTGGTGCAGAAAAATGTCTCCTTAACCGTTGGCTTTCCCATCTGAGTGTCTCCCGTGGGGTTCTTAAACTCTGGCTCTCCATTCAGAGAAACCCAGAGCAGAATCAAAGTCCCCTTCCCTGGGAAGAAGAATCAAAAAGGACTCGCCCAAGGTCACACGGCCTGGATCTCAGGACCCCGGGGACGCTTTGGAAAAACCCCCGATAATGGAGTTTGCCAAGATCTGCCCCGATGGCTTCGGCCTGAAAGGGCCTCACTGCGGACGGGCTGAGCCCGGTTCAGGAGCCCGAGCTGTTGGCCATGGCTGCAGGCTCTGAGACCCGTCTCTGTTTCTCTCTCACCCTGGGGGAGATGGCCGAGGGAGAACTCGCCTCTGCAGATTCCAAGCCAAACAGAGGCAGCCATTAATCAATAGGAAAGAAGTAACGAAATCCTCAGGCCCGAAAATGGGGTGGGGGTTGGGGGGGGAGAGCGCCACGTACCAGGTTGTGCGGCCAGTCCATCCCGCGAGCCAGGCGGCTGGCCTGCAGCTGCCGCCCGCCTAGAACCCCAGATGCCTCCGCCAAGAGAATGGCAGCAACAGGATGGAGCGAAGCAATTATAGCTCGTCAGGGGGCTGCTGGGGGTGGCTGGGTGGGCTCGTCATCAGCTGGGAGCCTCAGGCCCCCAGCTGGCTGGGCCTGGCGCAGTGGCAGGCGGCTAGGGGCGTGGGGGCAGGCCAGGAGCTGGGCCGAGGTGCCCAGGGGCTGTTGACTGAGGGACAATGCCCTGTGTGTCTGGCGGGGCTCTGGCGGGTGGCACCTCCGCCTGTGGCCTGTGGCTAGCCACCCGGCCAGCACCCGCAGGGCCAGCTAAGACAATCAGCTTCGTTTGCTTTGGGGATGGCGAGGGGGTGAGGGTGGAGGAGGGATGGGCTGTCCGTTGGTCAGGAGAGCAAATGTTCTCGAGTGTGCCGGCCAGGAGCAGGACACAGGCCCCATCTCCCAGGGAAACAGCCTCAGGCACCCCGGCCTCAGCCAGCCTCAGGTGAGTTCCGTGGCCCTGGGGGGTCGGAGTCCCACCCACGTAGTTCACTGGCAGGGAAACTGAGGCCAGGGTGAGGAAGGGACGTGTCTGGGATGACACAGTGGGTTAGAGATGACAGAGCTGGGATTCATACCCGGTCCCGGCGCAGGGCCCTATCCCCCACCCCCAGCTGTTTGTCTTGGGATATTTTCTGCAAGGTTCCAGCCTGCCGTGAGCGTGTTCCTGAATCTGTGCCCTCACGCGGGCTAAGTTGCAATTCGTGAGGACTTCATGGCTGCTTGTTCTGGCCTTCCCGATGTCGTGCTCCCCACCCCGTGCAGAGGGTCTTCGCTTCAGGGGCCTGCCCCTGTGTGGCTGTCTGTGACTTTGACTCTGTCTCAGCCTTAGTTTCCTTCTCTGTAAAATGGGAGTCATACTTAGGAATCAGCGGTGGCCTGGCCCCTTTCTTCCTGGAATCTCTCCGAGTCTCCCTTCCCACTTCTCTAGAATGGGGGTAATTGTAGTGGCCACTACTTGGGGCTGTTAAAAGGAGTAGAAGGAAATAAGCCATGTTTAACAGCTGGTTCAGTACCTGGCATGTAGAAAGTGCTCAATAGATACTTAGCTGATTATGATGAAATAATCATATAATTGTAACTACAAACATTAGCTGTTCTAATTAGCATTAGAGCCAGCATGGTTCTCATTGCTCAGTCAACTCTCCTTCCTTACCCCTTGGGCCCACCCTCCCGAGAGAGCTCTGGGCTTCACAGGCTCTGGCCACAATGTGGTGAGCTCGGGTGACCCCAGGGTCTACGGGGCCTGGAATCCCACGCTGAACTGACCAGCCCCGCGGGTCGAAGTCTCTCACCTCAAGTGAACAGCCCAGCCCGACGACAGGAGCGAGCCAGTCCACCCAGGGAGGCGGAGGAGGCGTGGGAGGGAGCGTGCAGAGGACAGGGAGGGACACTGTGAGCAAACATCTAGGACTGCACCGTCTTGTTGAGGGCCAGTCCTGGCCATTTACAGGAATCGGGTGAGGGGGAGAACACAGAGTGCGACGCGCTCCTGAATGTCACAAGATTAATCTGTCCGGGGCAGGTTTCCACAGCATAACTGAGAAACTGGCTGAGGCTAGAGCTCATCGAGAGATACCACCATATTTGGTCAAATACTAGACAGGACTCTATTCTATCACTGGAAACTCCAGAGGGCGGGGGACTCTGAAAATACCTCCTCGGGCAGCAAGGGCCCCCACTCCCATCCCGGCTGCCCCTGCCCCACTCCCCTCGGAGCAAGCGTGAAGGGGTGAGGGAGGCGGGCAGCCTCCTCGCTACCCCCCTGCTGCTGCTGCTGGCAGAGCGTCCGACCAGCACACAGTTGGGGGGACCCCACTCCCGCCCTGGCACCCACAAAAAGGGAAATTAAAAGACAGGGACCCGGCTGCCAGGGGTTTCCTCTGCTTCCCAGGACCCCTGAAACCACCACACTCTCCTGCCTGCTGGCCACACACACCCTCGCTTCTGTATCCCCAAGTCAGGACTTAGCTTCTCGGCTTCCAGCTTTGGTGCTTGTCCACATAGATTCCAGGCTCCCAGCCTCGGAGCTCTGACAATGCAGGCCCGGGAATCTGCACCTAACAAGGAGCCAGTCTGGGAACTACAGGAGTCCTTACCCATCCCCTTCTCGTTCCCCGACCCCACCCCTACTTTAGCACAGGAGACAGAGGCCTGGGAGGGGTGGGCCTCATCCAAGGTCACAGGCCTGTTGGTGCCAGAGCCGGTGGGGGAGGCTGGTTAGAGCACACCTCAGTCTCCTAATTCTTGCTACTCTTCCCCCGAAGTTTACACCTACAGCTCCGGGCCAGGCTGGGACTCCGGGGTGGGGGGGGGGGAGGGACACTCCTCCCAGTGGGGAGAGGGATCTGTGGGGTACACAGGCAGGTGCATGGGGAGTCACGGATGGGCATAGTGACCATCACTGGGTTTCCCATTCCTGGGCCATCTCAGGCCTGGAAGATAGTCCCTTCTTCCAGCCTAGGTTTCTAGAAACCACTGAAGGGTCATCTGCCCTCAGGGATGTCCTAAGTGTGAACCCTGGCCCACCACCCTGGTGGACCACTGCGGGATGCAACCCAGGCCTGAGTGGGAGGCGGAAGAACTTGGGCTTCAGGGGCTTCTGCGTCACAGCAAAGTTGGGGTCATCAGCACTCATGAATGAGAGAAGGGGCGGATGGGCTGGAGAGGGAGAGGCAGCAGGGTGTCTAGTTCAGCGCCGCAGGGGCCCTCGGTGGCAGGGGCCTCCGTGAGCAGTGCTGTGCTTGCCACCAGGTGGCACCACCAGAAAGCCAGACAGCCCCAAAGAGGACAGCAAGCCCTGAGGGAATCTCACGCCGCCCTTCCGCCCGCCCCCCCCCCCCCGCCCTTCCCTGGAATGGGCCCTGGCGCTAAAAATGAGGGGACCAGGGGAGGGGGCATGGGTCCCGTGCCTGCCCCTGGTTGCCCGAGGGACCCTACCTTTAGGGTCCAGCTCCAGGGATAGCTCCCACATCAGAGCAGGAACAGCACAACCAGCAAGAGTGAGGGGGCAGGATGAGGGGGGGCTTCTGTCTGCTGCGTGAGTGATCCCCTTCACGTGGAGCATCTACCAGGTGCTAGGCCCTAGGCACTTGTCAGCTAGACATCGTAATTTACAGGAAAGAACAATGAGTAATAATAACAGCTACTGCTTAACATCTACTCACTGACTGCCAGGCACTGTGCCAAGTCCTTCGTGTGCATTGGGTCATTAAATCCTCCGGGCCACCCTGGAGTGAGGTCCTAATTTTATCCCTCGTGTACAAGTGGGGAAACTGAGGCTCAGGGAGCCCAAAGTCACAGAGCATTCGAAGGAAGTCTGTCTGATTCCCGTACATGCTGTTCCTTCTGTTCCTTGCGGGGGGAGGGGGGGGATGAAAAGGAGCGGCGATGTCCAGCCGGTCACCGAGGAGGGGCTATGCTTGCCTCAGCCTCACCCTGACATCCTCAAACGACCCAGACCGTGAATGCTGGGGAGGTCACTGCACCCAAGCCCAAACCAGAGTCCTCAAGGGGATCTGAGAGCTCCGAGGGGGTGAGCACGGCACCCAGCAATGTTCCTGGCATTCACAAGATATTGGATGCATTGACTCAAACCAGGTGTCTGTAATATGGAGGGGTAATGCTAAATGGAGAACGGGAGGCCAGGGCAGTGGGGACCTGTAGGATGCAGGATTGCCCGGGACTAGGAGTTCAGACTCTAGAGATTGACAGACCTGAGTTTGAATCCTGCCTCTACCAGTCCACAGCTGTGTGACTTTGGGATGGTCACTTGACTTCTCTGAGCCCTAGGTTCTTCTGCGCAGCAGAGAGAATAATAACTTGGCCTGGCTAGCACGTTGTGAGTATCAAATGAGATACTGCATGTGAAAGCAGTTAGCAGAGCGCCTGACAAAAGTGAATGCTCAATTAAAGGTGCTGCCGTTGTCACTGTTCTTGTGAAAACACATCTTTGATTTGGGCCTTCAAGGATGCTTCTGGAGAGTTCTTAGGTGGGAAGGACATTGTGAGGTGGGAACAAGGATAGAACCTGCAGAAGAATGCAGCGGCCCCGTTGCCAGTGGGCTCACCCTGGAGCCAGGAGGACCTGTGGGAGTCAGTGTAAAGACTTGCCCAAGCGGACCCAGCAAGGCCTGGGGAAGCGGGACACTAAGAGGCGCCTCCGTTGCGAGATGGAGGGGGGCTGTGGCCAGGAGGGCGCATCCTCCACAGGAGGTCTTGGCTCTCCTGCCATGCGGCCCACCCCGCCGCCACCCTCCTGGGTAGGAGTCTTTCTCCCAGGCCCATATTTGCACAAATGCCTGCCTTACTGCTCACTCCAGAGACCCAGCCAAGAGGCACTATTTTAAGCTCCCTGGACGGGAACGCTGTTGGTGGGAGCAGACCCAGCCAGCAAGCTCCCAGTTCTCAAAAAAGGGAAAGGTCTGGGTGAGCGGGCGGCCCCTGAGTTGGGCCGAGGGGCCGCCACACCCACGGGGTCCTCTGCCCAGGCCAGGAGCCCATGCCTCCTCCCCCGTGGAGGGCAGTCAAGGAAGTGGGAGTCGGGGTAGGACTCTAAGAGGTGGACTTGTGCTCTGGAACTGGGTGGCCAAGGTGTCCCTGCTGCCCAGCAGCCAGCCGCGAAAACACCAAGCTTGCATTTCCGAATTACAGATCCGCTCCACCCCGGACCTCGTCTCTTGTTAGCGCTTACCCGTGGCCCCTCAGAGCCAGGGCGTGTCTTGTGTAGCCACTACCGGCATAGGATCCCCATTTAAAGCATCTCCGCTGGACACCCTCATAGCAGGGAGATCATCTCTCTCTGAGGACACACATCCTACTCTTTAAAGCTCTCGTGGTTGAAAACAATAATGATGATTATAAAAATTTTATCTTTCATTATGCCGACGTCCCCTCTTACAATGCAATATGGTGTAGCGGGA